GCATTACTGAGGCAGAGAATGTAACCTTATTTCTACTGGGAGGCTCTTCTAGGTCGGCAGTTGCCATGGAATCTGGACCCAAAATGTTGGCCCCCATTTGCCTGGTGGAAAACAACAATGACAAGCTGTTGGTGAACCAGCAAGCTATACAGATTCTTGACAAGATTTCTCAGCCAGTGGTGGTGGTGGCCATTGTTGGACTGTACCGTACAGGCAAATCCTACTTGATGAACCGTCTGGCAGGAGAGAATCATGGTGAGTGGTATCCTGGGACACAGGCCAATTGCTTGATTCCAGTATCTTAATGCTCTAACCTAGGCATGTGAAGCGAGAACCCAATTCCTTTCAATAAACCAACTTTCTCATTCTGATTCTAACCACCAAATCACTACCTTTCTGTAACCTTTCCCCATATTTTTTCCTTTATTCCCATTAAGGAAAATCTCCCCTACTAGTACTCAGAATCCTCCCATGTCTTGTGTATTGAAGACCTGGGCTCCCATAATTGTGTCTCCTTTCTCTTATAACATATTTTACTTTCTTCACGTAATATTCCCACCAACATACAAAGATGTTTGAAGGTGTATCATCTTAAAAACTCTTCCTGAATTTCACATGTCATCGTGGGCACCAAATCCTGTTTGTTTTGATTTTCTGTTTGTTTTTGTCTTTAATCACTTTCAATGCAAAAAACATTGTCTCAATCTGCTTTTTTGAATTATTTTGCTTCTCATGTCTTTCTTAAACCTACTCCTGTCTGACTTTGAACCCCACCATTTTCAGGATGTTCTTGTTATCAGTGACCTCCATTTTGTCTGATTCATGGATTCCTCTTCGTCTCCATTTTGAGCGCTTTCTTGGCATCATTCTCACATTTAATGTCCCTTGCTTTTTGAAATGGATGAATCACAGAGACATTCTTGAGGAAATATAGAAAGCACCATCTTGTATGCTGGGGCAGTTACAATCAAACCAGTCTGAATCCATGGCCCCAGGGCTGCTTGGCTGCTCTGCTGTCCCCATGCTTAGCTTCCTCCTCTTCCCTGCAGGCTTCCCTCTGGGCTCCACCGTGCAGTCTGAAACCAAGGGCATCTGGATGTGGTGCGTGCCCCACCCCTCCAAGCCAAACCACACCCTGGTCCTTCTGGACACCGAGGGTCTGGGCGATGTAGAAAAGGTAAGACAGGGAGTCATAGGCAGGTTCTTTTTATTCCAGACATGATCTTTGTAATTTAATTGTTGTGATATATTTGTGAAAACTAGAAATCCAACTACAGTGAATAAGGCAAACTTTGACCTGTTTGAGTCACACTTCCAGACAAGATTAGATATCATGGTATATTAGGTAAAACATTCTTTTATTTCTTGGCACAGTGGTGAATGATTTGATTCAATTTCATAAAATCTTGTTAAGCAGTTGAGCGAGAACCCAATTCCTTTCAATAAACCAACCTTCTCATTCTAATTCTTACCACCAAACCGTTACGTTACTAGAATCCGTTCTCATATTTTTTCCCTCATTCC